AGGAGTATATTCGTAATATACCACACCGACCATAATATCAAACTCCACAAGGCTTCAACGATTCATTCATAAACGATAAAAATTGAAAATGAATTTGTACAATATGTTTGTGATAACACTGACCACAATGTCGGTATTGAAGATGGTCATTGAACCTTTCATTGTTTGGATAGCATTGCTGCGTATACTTCAGCTGATCATAAGCTAGCGTGACTGAACATGATTCGTATGAAGGAGGTACAATTAAACGTAATAAAATACCCGATGTTATAATGTTAGCATCTAAAAATACCATCCTTGATACGCTATGTGATAGTAATTGTGCTTCAGGTTTAGCTAAAATTAAGCATTAAGATATTAGTTTATTAAAACTGGAGTATCGAAGTGAAATATCATCAGCATATGAGACTTTTGTATAAGGTAAGTGCTTTATTAATGATTGCAACGCTACCGCGATCAGGGCAAGTTGCCTTAATCCCTGACCGTGTAGGTGCCAATCTACCCAACAAATTTACTTATTCAATGATTCTTACCTGTGGACGCCACTCGTTTTTTAGGCCAGAAAACGAGAAACCTGGGAAAGCTGGCTAGCTCTGGTTTACCTGAAAACCGCGAAAAAATACTCGCGAACACAAATAATCTTTACACCAATTGTATATGTTTAATCAAGGACTTTTATTAACGTAAAATTAAATTTATTTGAATTAATTAATGCAAAGAAAATTAATATCTCGATTAACAATTTCGTTAACGCGAAAATCTATATATTTAATTGATTCACAAAATTATACAAATATCAAAAATAATCGATTCAATTTAATAATAATAATAATAATTGGAATTTAATTGAACTTAATCGTGAATGAAATCAATTATAATAACCTACGATACTTATTAATGTGACTAAATAATAGTAATAATCACGCGAGAACGTTCTCGAAAGCATTTATTTCTTGAAACAAAGAAATTCCTCAGCGAGGAACAAGGACAGATGGTCCTAGACGAAATTACTGGTACCGGATCGCAAAGCACATACTCTCTCTCTCTCCCACTTGCACACAGGGAATATAGAAAGGAAAGAGATAGTAGATAGATGTAGATGGTTTCAGCTTACGGAAGCTCCTCGTCGTCTAAGTATCCCAGACCCCTGGTCCAACGGGGCTTACTTCCTCGGCGAGACATCCACAAACTATCTGCGACTGGTACACTGAACAATAACTGGTCCTTTGAACAGGTGGTAAAGTACACCAACCAACAATGGAATAACTTCACCTCGCAACGTCGAGGGCTTTTTCAATAAATGTAGCCTAACTGGCACTTCACTGTTGCTCTCGCAACGTCGAGAGACTTGTTTTCATAATTTTATTTCAATTATTACTCCGCAACGTCGGAGAAAAGATGATTGCAGAGAATCAGAGAAGAGAACTTGACACCACGTGCTTACTCTTTCGACAACAACTCCACAATGGCGTCTTTATGTAAAATTTCTAGCCGGCTGACCACGTGGTGATGATAGCGCCGCCAAAAATAAACTATTTTGACCTAATTGGTAAATTAGGTCAATCAATGATCGACAGGTCGATAACGTATCGACCTGCTGAAGGGCTGGGTGACACTCGATTCACCCATCTCGTTACATGATGTATCACCTATGTGGAGAGGTTTCATGAAAACTGTATCAAATACAAAAGATAATTATTATGTTTTTCATGTCGAATGCCTGCCTTTTATTAATCGGCTACTGTTACAATAGCCGACATTACCGAAAAATACCACCCCACATGACGCAACTGCAGAAAGTCAGAAATAGCAAGAAACAACTTTTGCGATACTTGATCAAGCACTATATTCAAAAGCTTGAAATATCGTCGCTTAGTATGTAGATAACCAGTTAAAAAAAGTAGTCTTACAATTAGGCGGTTTTTATCTTCTAATGTCCTACGTAGGTGTTATTGCTTACATTATAGCTGAAAGTGGATTAGAAGAAGATTTATGGTCAATAGCTTATGCTTTGGAATAAGTTAAAAAAATTTTTAGTGGCCATACTTTTTCCCGTGCAATTAAAGCTTATATTTTGACATTTACTGCTTGAAGTCATTATATGTAAAAGTATCCCACCATACGAGATATATAAAAAGATAATTAAATTATTTTTTGCTAAGTAGGATGAAAATCCTTTATCCTTTGGTGACTGTGAGTCAAATCGTGAAATTAGAAAATTATCTGAACTACTTACAGAACCTTTAACGTTTATGAGATAATGGTTCTACAGCTAAACTATGGATTCAATATTTTCAAACAATGTTGATTGCACTTGAAGCAGAACGCTTAGGAAACTGGAAGCTGCATTTACACAGTATTGAAAAGCCTGCAGCATATATTTCATGCTACAGGCCATTATCCTGATGCAAAATGTGCGCAACTTCATCTGCAAGATATGGCGGGACTTGAAACATTAATGGCTGATAACGAAGAAGAATATGAAAATTTCCCAACATAGGGTTTTTTCACTATTCGTAGATCATATAAAGCGGGGGCTGGAGTATAGTCTAATATAGCGGTAGAACAAACGTTGAATCAGTATTTTGGAACACATTTGAAACGTGTAGGAGGCGTGACATCGAGTGCAGTGGCTCAGTATTTATCTACTATTCCTTCTGCCTCCAATATTATGGGTAATTTAGAAAATTTTTGTGGCATTTCTAGTTTAACAAGTGAGCAACATGTAGATCTTTCACTAGGTCGTATCCATCGTGATGAGAAAAACATAATTAGATTTATTTCCTAATTAAATGAACATGAACCATTTCAGCCACGTGTTCGATTAACTTCCTGATCTACTTGAATTATTGAAAGTCCCAATATTGATTGTCATTTTGCATTTGAGAAAGGATAAAAAGGAATAAAAACATCCGGTCAAACACAATTAATAAAATTTCACTACACGAGCACACAAAGTTCAAACTTTTACTGTTGCCCGGGAAGGAATCATAGTAAACTACAGTAATTTACCAACAATTAACCTCTTCTTATTATCTTGAAGAATTACCAAACTTTTAACGAATAAGACGGATTTAATATTTACTGCACTGGAATTCGGATTATCACCATTTCCGTAGTTATTATTCAATGAGAATGCATACATGAGGAAAGTAACTAAATCCAATTTCTATGATGTTTGTAAAACAACTCATGCGACTAATTCAATTCCACAAAAATCTGTTTGTATCATCATAGCCAATGAACGGAAATTTATTATTACATCAGCAGAATTCTTGTAGCAATTAAACATTAATGATAAACTGGTACGTGAAGATGCAGACACATTAATTATTACTACTGTTAGTGAATTAAAAAATTGGTGGTAGTTGTAAGTCACGATGTGGATTTCATCGTATTATTAGTCACTCTTACTTTACCTTGTGCCATAATTTACTTCTATAATGAAGGATCAGGTGAAACAGAAAGCAAAGTTTGCAAAACACATTGTACTGTACGATTTGAAGACTTGATTTTATTTGTCACCATAGTGACAGTGAATATTGTCGTACAGCTTTTGTAAATAAACACAATTACATATCCTCATGGGATTGTTTAAAGATTTACTCAATCCGTCATTATTTGTTTCAAAAACGTCAAAAAAAAATTTGGTGTTCACTTAAGATTGATCATGATTGTATTTTCGAGTACTTAAGTTACTAGAAATTTAAGTAAATCACTTAGGTTCCACTTCATTTCACCAATCGATAATCGACAACTTAGATCCCGCTCTCCAGCCATGATAAATGTAACTTATGATATAAAAAAAAAAAAGTTTGTGTGTATTAATAATGGGCGGAAAAAATTCTAATTTTATCGTAAAGTTGAATTTCTTCTTGTTTACAACATAAATAATTATTGTAAAATAATAGAATGAGAACAACTATTATTAAAAGTTAGTTTATTAAAAATGACAGATTCAAATACAGAATCAAAGACAAGACGTCTAATGTTAGCTAGTCTCAGTCCTATACTGGAGATAAAAAAACTCTCCCCTCGTTGCTATAAACAATCTAATCGTCAAGCAATCGTCGTTAACTAACAAACTGTCGTTAGTCAATCCATCTATAGATGGACACACATATATTTCACACTTCTCCCGATCTTCTGAAAATTGCCTCCTGGCAATTTTCAATAGCTGGGTAAAAATATTGGATTAGGCTGAAATAAATAAACATGCAAAATCTAAAATTAAATTTCTAATTCGAAATTATGAAAATCAATTAAATAATCATTCAGCCTAGATTCCAATATTGCCGCTTCTCAACTCTGCCTGCTTAAAAATAAATAAAACAAATTATTCTGGAGGGAAAAATCCTGTGGTGGGTAAAAACCTCCAAAACAGGCCAAAATAATCTAAATTAACTAATAACGTGATTCTATACAATTCAAAATCTTAAAAACTAAAAGTCCGTCAGTCAAAATTTTCATTCTTAAATTAACTTCATTATTCTTTTTTCCTTCGTCTTTTCCATTGGAATGGATTAATTATTATAACATTATCGTCCCACGTCGATATCATTTTTTGTTTTCATGTTTAGAATTAAAAAACTAAATATTAAATTCCATGATTACTTCTATAATTTTCTTGAATATTCGAATTTTTCTTTCACTTTCGGATGACTTTGTTATAATACATTCGATATTAAGAGAAAAATTGTGTCGACGGCCGGCGGCTCTCATGGTTTCAATCTCTATATGTTCATTCCTACGAAGCGAATACGTTCTTTATTATATTGTTATGGAAATTTCGATTTTATTTTCAGTCTAGAGGTTAGTAGAATAAGATGTTTTGTCTTGTAGAGAAAAACAGTATGCGTTCCATCATGCACATAAACAAATGTTGTCATTCTATTCATGAATAAAGTCATTCACGTGGGTATATGACAAAACATATTTTATTTGAGGCAGACAAATATTTCAATTTCATACTTATGATTCATACTATTATTATTTTGCAGTTACAGTGATGGAACAGTTTGTCTCAGAAATCCACACATCGAGTTAATGGATCAAGATATCCTTTATCATTTAGCCTTGGGAAGCGGCTCACATGATCTTGTTGAAATGTTCGGAGATGTAAAGGTAAAGTTAAAACTTTTTTTTATCACATTGTAGGATAATTACAATATAATATTGACAGAATTGTTTGAGTTATACGTATCTATTCATGTACTTTTTCGATTTATTCATAGATACGGGCAAGATTTAATGTAGTTTGTAGACTGATAGTAATATATGGTTGAATTTTTTTTCAAGATTCAACCTTTGAAAAAAACACTGAAAAAAAAATAGTAAGATCGGAAAAATTTATTTTGCTGAATAAGTATACTAATAAAAGGATCAATCATCCCTATTAGCAGTAAACATTTTTCTGTAAGGGTAAAAAATTAGTTTTCTCGTACTACTACGACACAGGTACTTATAAATGTGAGAAACTATGTAACGTTTTCAACAAGACTAAACATGGAATTGGGATCTAGCAGTTGTAAAGAGTAGTTAAAGAGACTATCACTCCGCGAATCCCAATAACAATCGTTAATAGTCGTTAGTTAGTACGGAATAATACAGATAACCAGTTAAATAGTGACAAGTTCACTCTAAGTGATTTAAGTGCACTATTTTTCTCAAGCCTCCCTGTGTACAGAAAGAATATTGACCAAGCTCCATAATGATGACTTCACAGTGCAGTTACGCGACCATTACAATAGCCTCGGTATCATATATTCAAACACCCTAAGAATGTCAATGGTTCTGAGGTCAGTCACACATTAAACTTAAAGGCCAACGAAGTCCTGCACTAAGTGCAGCATTCAGTCCTTTGGATCTAAGCATCAGTGATTATTGATCCAACTCGTTAAGAAAAAAGAAATCTGATTTAATACTCCATTCCACAATGGCATATATTGAACCAACAACAGACAGTTATCACGATGGTGCCGCTCCACCAACGCAGCAACTCTTATGTCCAGAAGGTATCAGAATAATTTTTCCGAATTTCAGAAGTGTTGCAGAACATATTCCGGAGCTCGAACTTCTGATGAAAAAAAGAAATGTTTTTGCTTATGTAAAAACGGGCCTGAATTCAACCGGGGAAATACAATTCCCAGGATTTAAAACAAGTAGAAAAGCCAGGATTCGGGCTTGGTAAGACAGTTTGTTAATATTTATAAGAAAAGAGTTAGCATTTAAAGGAATAAACAATCTTAAGACGCCCAACGATCCGGTTAATTTTTGTAGTTTCCAATTTACTAATGTCAAAGTTCCATTTAAGCTGCTAGTGTGTTACAGAGTCCCGGGTTCAGTCCCTGATCAGCAACAATAGGACACAATATCTAGTTATTTTGAAAGTAGTAATAGGGTATTGTTCGAGGGAGATTTTAATGCATACCAAATTTACTGAAACTGTTAAGAGTCTGATAACAATGGTAAGAGACTCCTTTGAGTGGTAGAGGACAAAGAATTACTTATTCATAACACAGACACATTGAGGTGGAGAGACTTTCATCGAAACAAACTACAAATCTTGATTTAATCATCTTTACTTTACTTTATAGAAATAAACATTTAGAGGGGTGAAAACTATTGCCACAAAAAATCTTTGAAAATAAGCTGGGTCCGTACTGATTGGTGTAAGGTAGATAAATACGTAGAAGATCAATATGTAACGTTTAAAAGCTAGTGGAGAAGAAAAATATAATATATTTGTTAGCATAGTTTTTTTTTTTTTTGGAAGAAGGAGTCAGAATATTCCGCCTTTACCTGCGCTCACCCTGTTAGGGCTATTGAGCAGAGTCTATTTTACACAGTAAGGATGGTCTTATATCTTAGGCTTGCAGGCTTCCAAGTTCCCAAGTTGCCTCAGTTCTCCTTATCAGCTCCGAAACAATCCCTGTTAATTCCCACGGTGGTTCGAATTGAACGTTATCTTTCAACCTCCGAAGATTTCACCAGCCCTGTGCCCCCCCCCCTCCGGTTTCCTCAGCATCAGCTAGGCAAGATCTATTGGCCCAGTGTCAACCTTAGAGGTCGTCCCAATTCCACAAGAAATCGCTCTTGCTTTTGGAGATTACGCCGGTTACCTTAGAGGTTCCTAGTTTCCTCAGCATCAGCTTAAGACAACAAGAGAGAGTGTGAGGAATTTTTGATTCCACCTATGCCTCTTGCTCAGGTAAAGCTGGATATACAATGGGGTGTCGCCTGATTCCCCAAGGGCATCATAGCGGCAATAAAACTTTTTGTACTATTTAGTCATCAACACGATTGCTTACACTTGTGACTGCCTTCTAAGAGGCCTTCTGCTCATCTTGGTCAGAGAAGTTCTATATTACAGATGGGTCTCGTCTCGACCGGAAATCGAACCTATTACCCATAGTGCGCGAGTCTGGCACGCTACTACTCAGGGCACAATGTCGGTTTACCAGCATAGTTACCAACGCAATTAAAGCCAATACTCCTAGAAAATAAGTAATAAATACTAAAATTCATAGAAATCCTGTTGAATGATGGTATACAGAATGTCATCAGGCAAAAAAGATTTTTAAAAAGCGTATGAGAAATGGAAAATAACTGAAGAAGTAGCAGCTCTAATTATATATAAAAAAATATCGGCGTGGACAGGAAAGCTCTTGAAGAAAAAAAAGAATGTTTCAAAGAATTCGCAACTAACATAATTTTAGAAACGATATTAAATACACCTGGAACATAGCTGAGACTCCTAAGAATAAATAAGTCAAAACTTACCTAACTAATAAAAAAGAAAATTTGCAAACTAACGTAAAAATAAGCATAGCTCTTAACAAACTATGTCCACCTTAGGTTCCTACAGATCCTGATTACAGCCCACCTGCTCCAAACTGCGAATTCTTTGTTGCAATTTTTGATTTCAGGGAATTTAGCATTGCCTTAAACTCTCGTAACTCCAATTCATTTCCAAAACTAGATAAAATTAGCTATGAAGCAATCAAAAAATTGCCAACCAAATATAAATTAATATTATTATACATCTGTAACATGCATCTAAAAGCGGGCAGTATCCATCTGACTGGAAAAGAATATTTATTCACTTTATTGACAAAGAAAAACAAAACAAATTTTAGACAAATTACGCTATCATCATGCTTTTGTAAAATTTTCGAGACACTAGTTAGAACCAGGCTTCAGTAGAGGGTTGAACACTTTCAAGTTATTTCCCAGAGTCAAACCGGATTTCGCCAAGGGCAATTCTTTATAGATAATCTTATTAATTTTTCCCTTTTTGTTGAAGAAGGTTTTGTAGATGAAAGAGATACCCCAACCGCTTTCCTAGATGTGAAAGTAGTTTCGATAATCTGAAAACTGATGTACTCCTCGATAGACTGATCGAACTTGGATGCTCTAAACAAATAATAGATTTTATTGAACACATAACACAGGCAAGAATAATTAGTACTGAGGCTCTCGAGCAGCAAACAATGCTTTTGCACATAGGTGTTCCCCAACGGGGGAGGGGTGTTTAGTCCCCTGCTGTCCATAATTTGTACAGTCAAAATAGGTAAAAACCTACCAAGAAATGTCAATACTGCTGAATTTGCTGACGATATTGCTGTGTATAATTAAAGTAAATCAATAAATAATTCTAAGAATGCAGTAGAAAAAGCTATTAAAACTTTAAAGGTAAACCTGCAGAAATTAGGGCTGGTACTATGTCCCTCTGAAACTAAATTAATACACTTCAATAAAATAACGCGAAGCCAGAAAGCATCCTTAATCGGTTAGGTCATTCAAAGTTGACATTTTCTCAACACCCTCACATATTGGCATTGTAGGAAACGAGGAAGCAGACACCTTGGCCAAACACAGGACCAAGGGTTCACCGGACAAGTCCATTACTGTTTCTTTTACTGACTTTAAAATCATGTTGAAGAAAAAAAATTACATTGACACCGCAAACTACAACTTTTAATCGATAAATACCAACAACACAGGCAAGCAATACTTCCAATCAATAAATCAAAATAAAGTACGGTCATAGTTTGCCGAGAAACGATTAACGCGACAGGTGATAGTCACAGCTAACAGGTGTAAAGCTAATCACTGTAACCTGGTTAGCTTCCTTGACCGTGTAAACTTTCTTAGCTCCCCAGAATGTAAATGCGGCTATCATAAAGAAGATTTAAATCACGGAATATGGTTCTGTTCCCTAGTCACTAAAAAAAAAAGCAAATTGATTAAAAACTTGAAAAAAAATTAAGATTATACCCTACTGTGATGTTGAAAAGTTATTAACAAAACCAAATATACCAGCGATGATTAATATATATGAGAATTTTTCAATAACTTTAATATTTATGTACCGTGTCTACGGAAATTTCTTTTTTAAAGAATGAAAATTTAAAAAACTTTTATTTCCTAAACATCATTGTCATAAAATGAAGGGAAACTAAACGAGAATTGAAATAGATCACTTCACAGAGCCCCAAAAAACTTTCTTTCGCCAAAAATACAGATTATTAACGTTATTATTTGTTTCAGTAATAAAAAACATAGAATGTGATGGACAAAATACTTCGCATCACATACAATATTAAAGATAATTCATGTTGTCAGAGTTTTATATGATTAGGATTCATTTTTTTAATAAAATTTACAAACATTCATGTTTCAACTTAATTATGAGAATAATTTTTTTTGCTTAAAAATTTTCCGAAATTAAACTCTTTGCCATTTTACTCAAAAGTATGTCAATCCATAATTTCATTTTCTTACAGTTCATATGCATGGGAGGAACACCGAAAAGAATGGAAAATTTTGCTTATTTTATAATGGAAGAAATAGGTCACAAGCTTCCAACAGGAACGACTTTGTCAAATATCACACAATATTCATATCGCTATTCTATGTATAAAGTTGGTCCTGTTCTATCAATTAGTGTAAGTTTCTTTGCACGCTATTAATTATTCTAGATATTTATTATTTTTCGTGAATTCAAAATTGATATTAATTCTGAAACATTTATTTTCTTGAAGCATGGAATGGGAGTATCATCATTAGGAATACTCCTTCATGAAGTGATAAAACTAATGTACCACGCAAGGGTAAAAGATCCATTATTTATTCGAATTGGAACGTGTGGAGGAATCGGCATAGAAGGCGGGACAGTAGTTATAACAGAAGAAGTTGTTGATGGAATGCTGAAATCGTACTTTGAAGTGGTAAAGTTAATTTATGAACTATTACAATAAATTTTTAATCTATTCAAAAATTTAAATAAACATCAGTGCTCTCCACTGGTCTAGATGAGACTCGAAAAGTCCACACGACTAACATCCCAGTAGAAAGAAAAACAAGGATTAGCTAGTTTACCATTGAAACGCAGAGATGTGTCAAAATTCAGGATTCACAAAATCAGACCTATTGCTTGTTATGCCGTGGATAGTTTTCAGGATTTTAATTAATTTGTAAACACAGATTTTATTTTAAGAGATCACAAATTTATTAATTCACTTAAACTTAGTTACACTTAACTGGTTTACACTAATATTATAGGTGAACAATTATTTCTATTTATAATTGAAAACTATTATCTTATTGATTATATTCTATTTCTCATCCTTCTACTGATTCTAAATTTTTTAACAGAAGCTTTTGCTTCTACCTTTGTTGGAAATAAAGGGCTGATAAATGCTTTAAGTTATAGGGGTCGTCAAAACACAACTATACCACACTAAGTTCTAATACCTAATTGAATAAATTGAAATTACTCGTTTAAGTTGCAAGATTTTGTATTTTAAGTTAAAGAGATTTTGGGCACTGAGGAATAGGAAACAAAAAACTATATTAGCGGGGTTCTATTGTAGTAGTTAATTTAATTATTAACTGCTGTATTTCTGTATGAAATAAAATGTACTGCCAACACAAAGGATAACTTTTGTAAATATTTTATGGAAAATTTACTGTAATAATACTTGATAGTTGTTAATAAAATAGCACTAAAAGAAGTAGTAAAGAAAAATTCTACTATAATAACAGTCAATTACTCTGCATGAAAAACAAAACAAATACAAATAGGGTTCAGAATTTGAGAAATCAATGTGACCATATAATTCCATGTGAAATTTGGAATTCATGATTGTAATTCAATCTCAAAAGATAATTACAAAAGTCACTCTTTTTAACTCTGCTTGGGAAATTAATTTTGTATTGCCAATATTCTCAATTTAAAGAGAAATAACAGAATCTCTAATCAAGTTCGAGTTGCCAACAGTTCTTCGTGAACTCTTGCACGATGTTATCGAAATTTTATGATTAATAGGAAAAAGTATTCTTTCTAGCGGGTTGATAAACTGAACTGAACAATAAAAATTACCCCCCCCCCAAGTGGGTTTATGATGAAAACAATAGAATAGAAAGAGAGAATAGTTGTAATTTACAAGCAATAGAAGAAGAGAGATGTTTATAATAATTTTGATGCCACTATCAGTGAGGGATGGACAAGTGGACGGATTTAAACAGTATGGATAGAGCTAGATTTTTCTTGGATAGACACACTTGTTTCCAAAGTGTTCTACTAACGGGACCAACGAAAGTTGTAGCTCACGTTGTAAATACCAGAGTTGTAGCTGTAGACATACGTTATGACGTCTGTTCTCCAAAAGTAATATAAATGTGTGTAGATAGAGGTAGTTTTTTCAAGTTATGCAAATATTAACAATATATGAGTTTTACTCCTAACAAATGGAATTATTACTGATTTTTCAAAATTATTATCACTTCCAATTGATGCAGATAATAGTTTTTACACTGTTTTTCATGTAACTTTATTAAATTGTCTTAAAGTTTTCAATATAATTTCAATGCTTCATTTCATTCAGAGTAATGTTGAAATATAATTATATTTTCACACTCTTCTTTATAATTGTATTACATTGAAAATGATGTAGGATTCTCCAGCATAATAACATTACTTAAGGTATCAGGAGTTTCAGTCGAAAATAAGTAGTGTCGGATTCTAAAATTGTTTATTTGAAAGCATCTTTGATCAATAAAACTCTCAAGAATTTTTGTGGGAGAGATGAGCTCTTTTTTTACCAATAATAATATTAATAATAACAATAATTAAAATGTCAATAATCATAATAATAATTTTAATTTCATTTTGCGATTCATTTTATGTCACATACGGTAATATTTTTATGCAATTCTGACGATCACTTAATTTATTTTTGTCTTGAAATTGCTGACCTTGTGACATCAGCTATTCTTTCTTATATTTCTCATACGTGAACATAACTCTCCTTATCTATCTTATGGTTTTTGTTCACGTTTGTGTTCTATTCAGGCACGTTTATTGTGATGAAATACTCGGAATAATTGTGACAAGCGCTGACATGTCGCTCTGTCTCTCTCACTACACTACAACAACTTTTGTAAAAAACATTTTTTCAGATTTGTCAAAAGAAATGAAAACAAACATAAAAAATTCATAAAAATGTGTTAGAGAGTGATTTCAACTCTTGCCTGGAGTCGGAGCTCACTTTTTTAGGTGAAATTAATTCTACATCTCCTGAAAATATACTACCAAAATTTCAGCTATTTCAATATTTTTTAACATAAAACCTAATATGACTGGACGATCGGTGATGAAGGTAGAGATGATAGCTCTAAAATTTGTAATGATAATAATAATTCTGATTCTGAAAATTTGAAGCTGTTCAAAGATTAAAATTTTCTTAATGGGTTCAGATGTTGGCTTTGAGGAGTGGAAAGTCATTCGAAGAAGAATTGTTGGATTTTTTAAACAAGTTTAATGGAAAAAATGAGATCAGGTTAAAAACAATTTTAGATGAAGTCTATAGAATTGATACAAATTTTCTAAAAAGTAAGGGAATTGCTCTAAACTTCAGTAAATTATTTTTGTCTTTAAAATAATTTGTTCGATTTATTTTCAAGCAGACAGAGTTGAGGAATGGCAATATTGGAAATTAGACTGATTGAAATTTCGAATGATGAGTTTAATTTTAGATTTTGCTTATTTATTTCAGCCTAATCCAATATCTTTACCAAGCTGTTAAAAATCGCCAGAAGGCAATTCTTAAAATAACGGAGGAAGTATAAAATATACATATGTGCCCATGTAAATGTATTTATGATGGATTAACGAACGTCAGAATTTGTTGATAGCAACGCGCAAGTGGTTTGTTTATGTGATTTAGGACTGAGATTTGCACAGATTCGAAGTCCTTTTAAGATCTTGTATGCGATCTGTCATTTTGTCGGGTTATCTGGAAAGTTCGTACCGTTTTTTTGTAAATAAAACTACCAGAATATTACAAATTTGACTGATATTAATCTACTAGATATTGACCATTCTGTTCAATTACTTGCTTCCATCTTTCTTCAAACTTATTAATTCCACGTTTATAAAATGATTCATTCTTTCATGTTTTGAGCACCGTTCAATATCTAAGCAGTTTCAGATGCAGCACGAACTTTCCGGATGATCCAGTAATACTTTCTTTAAAAACATCTGTGGTCCTTATCCTATATTGTACAATATTGTAAAAAATTTATTTTAAAGCTATCCTTACAACTTTTTTATTCGCTCTTCAAACATCTTAATAAGGCCAATATAATAAGTGCCTAATTCAGAAGGAAATTTTGTCATAAGGCATCATAAAGACCAGATAAACATTGTTTAATAAATGATTAACTAAAACATTTTTCAGTAAAAGTTGTAAGTTTGTAATGAGAAAGTTATTGAGTAATGCGAAATTAGAAAAATCTTAATTCATCTGAAAAATAAATTTATCAGCCATAGGTTGGGAATGCCTGATTTACGCTTACCTATTTAATTCCCAATAAAGGCCTGATAGGTATTGAGGCATTCCTGGAATAGATTTTCCTCGAGAATACACGCAGCTAGCCTGTGGTCTGAACATACCACTACGAGTCCAACTTCAATTGAAAGACCTGGTTCAACATGTCGTTTTTCGACTTTACAGCTTCTCATGTAGGCTTGAAATGTGGTCTTCTGTAGTACCAGTTTTATCCGCTTTGGTCAGCGGTCATAACTATTTATGGTGTGAGGGAATGCACCATAATATTATCAACAGTTGTAAGAAAATCCAAATTAGTGGTAATAAAATTTGGTGATAAATTGAAAGTTGACATTAAAAGAGAATGATCCACAGACTACAAGTGTTCTGCGACGGTTGCAGTCCTGCAGCCTGTGCTCGGGTTCTCTGGAAATATCCAGACGTAGATCACTATTGTTCACGAGCTATCGGGGTGTATTGACTGCTATCGGTTATAGCAGTCTGCTACTTCGACAAGGTAGAGAAACTGGCCTATTTTTTGTAGTTGTCGTCGTTTTTGCGTTCCTCTTTTTTCTTCTTCACTCCCGAATGTGCCTAACATCCTTGCAAAATTTCTCTTCCACGCACGATTTCATAAATTGTTCGAGTGCCTTACATGTGTCCCTGGTTTGGAAAAACTTTAAAGTTATCTTGGGCCACGCTTGGCAGAGATCGATATTCGTTCCCGAATAAATGGCTGAAATGAGGTCTTTACGTTTATTGTTATATGTGGGAAAATGCAAAAGGAAAAATTCACTGTATCGTCTTCTCCACTCCCGCAATTAGGGCAAATTGAATCAGATTCTACGGTATTTTATGCTCGATGTGCACGAAAGATTGCATGCCCTGTCAATACGGAAGTCATCAAATCATTGAGACGGATCGAAATTCGTGTGTTTCGCGACTTTATCCAACGTGTCTTACTCTGTCTGCGAAATTTTTAGCATTTGTTACCTGAAGTTCATCAACAGCATCGACGCTCTAGCCGACGTATTGTCGTCCATAGAAATTCTACTATTATTATAAGTTAAGACTTCTTCAGTACGAAGGATGTATCGCACATTAAGATCACCAATTACGTACAAGCAGTACCCCTGACGCCACACATAGATCTCCCCCCGGACAATTGTACGGGCATGTGTGACAACTCCTGTTTCAGTCATGCCACTTTCTCTCTATATCGTATTGAAACTGATCTTCGAGCTTGATAATTTGCATGCCTTAGGCGAAATACATAGTTGCAATTACTAATCTTATTTTGAAATTGACACATGATTGTAAATCGAATTATTATTGGATTGGGATTTTAAGTATAATTTTTTTTTTCTGAGTGTACGTGAAACTTGAACTTAATCAAAGTGTTAAAAAAATTTCAGCGTTAGCAATATGTCAAATTTTTGATTATTGACTCTTTGAATGTAAAGATTATCTTCTGACAATTATCGATTTGTTAAAAAATTTTATTTAATTTTATTGTAATATATTATCTTCTGTCCATACTAGCCAGTACTGGGTAAAATGCTCCGAAGGCCAGCAAAAATAGATAAACAATTAACACGGGAGTTGAAAGCTATGGCTCACGAAGATGATCCATATGAAACAGTAGTTGGGAAAACAATGTGTACAAATGATTTTTACGAAGGTCAAGGTCGTCTTGATGGTGCTTTTTGTGAATATACGGAAGCCGATAAAATGGAATATCTTCAAAAACTACAAAAAGCTGGAGTGATAAATATAGAAATGGAAGCATTAGCATTCGCAGCACTTACACATCATGCAGGAATCAGATCTGCAATTGTGTGTGTTACATTATTGGATCGATTGAAAAGTGATCAGGTATTTAAAAACAATTTTTACATAACATTTGATAATAAAAAAGTTAGTTTCAAATATTAACATCGACCAATCCTTCAAGAAGTATATTTATAATAAAATACTCACTAAATTAAGACTCAGACATCATTTTTGCCGGTTGTTCAAATTCAATATCAATTTTATAACTCAACAAAAAAAAACTAACTGCTTTGGTAATATTTCTATAATTCTTGTAGCTTTACTAGAAATCCCTTCACTCATATTTATAATCGAATCGTTAAGTAAATTTTTCGAAAAAAGTCTTGTCAATAGATATACAACAAGTGTTCAGTACGACATTGTTGTTATTATTTATATTATTATCATTACTACTATTCGCGTATCAATTGTTGTTATACAAGAGGAAAACGTGATGAAAGCATAAAATAGAAATTATGAGACTGACTTTTTTTATTTTTCTTATGCTATTTATCATCTAGTATGAGAAAGTGATTTAGACTGCAGATGAAATTTTACTAGAATTCTAGTAACGTTTCCTAGAATGAATTTACTTGATTAACCGAATAATAAACCTCGAATTATTTTTTCCATAGATATTTTGATAATTATAATTTGGCTCAATTACAAAAATACATAATTTATTATTCCATTTTCACATTTCTGCAGCTTATGGCACCTAAAGAAGTCTTAGAGGAATGGCAAAAACGACCTCAAGTTCTCGTTGCTAGATATATCAGAAAGTACCTGCAAACTAAAGGTCGCTTAATTTGCGAAGGCCATGGATCTATAGCTGTTAAAAGTCCACGTCGCTTTAAACTTGTTCAACAAGAGTCAGAAAACTATGACTGAACTGCCAGTTATTTAATACAATGTATTTATCAATTTGTTATTTCGTTTAATCTAATTGTAAGATTACATCATTATAAAATCTGTATTAATCGAATTCTTGAGAAAAAAATGTTTATTCATGGTATTCTTAACAAATTTTTACAGTATAATTATAAAAGTGAATAAGACATAAAATTTATAAACTTGAAAATAAAGCATCGTTGGTAAAAAATAATTATCAAAGCTTCGTAGTTAAAGAATTTTTTCTCATGATAGTGGAGAAAGAATTTTCGTTGGTTGCATTCTTTATGGGATATTTGAGTACAAATGAGTGCCGATTCATATTTCAAATCGTTACGAAAAAAATTACAAATAGTCTAAAAATAAGATGAAACATTTAAAAATATCAAATTTCTCTATATATCGAGAACTGTTTAATGGTTTTAAGCTATGATGCAGAATTTTCGACACATCAAGAGAATTGTTAATGTAATTTGATGTTATATATCTAAAGAAACGAATCGGGTTATAAACGAGTCTCTATAAAAAATTGTAATCAACATAGTGAGTTTACTGAAGATATAGTAAAAATTATTTAAAATACTTTGAATTGAACTTTGGTAAATTATCAATCTCCTTTTGTGGTAAATCGTTAACTCTTTCTACAAGAAAAAAAGGTTCTGTAAGATTGTACTAAAGAATCTTTTAAATTTTACTACAAATGTTTATTTATGGATCAATAACTAAACTACATTTATACATTTGTTTTTAACAAAAAACATTACAATTGTTGTCTGCGAATGCTGTGATAACATCTAAAGTTTTTACAAGTATTTCCAGTAATAAAACGATTCTCAGTCTTGTCGAATGAACTTTATCGAATCAAAGAAATAGAAGTTAAAATTGTCATTGCACCTCATTGCATTCCAGAATAACTATAGATAATTTACTTGTTTAAGATTAAGCATTCAATTTTCCAATAAATTTTGATTATATATTTTTATCAATAAAATACATATCAATACAAATATTATCTTCTTGATATTTTGGTATATTAATAGCAACTTAGAATGTAACTATTTCACAATTCTACTACTGTTCTAAAATGAATAAACATTGTTAAAAAGGAGAAATCATAAAACTTCTGAAGAAACCTTATAAACAAAATAAATGAACAAACGTGTAATTAAGAAATAGCATATACTACAGATAAATACTCTAGTAAACTGAAACTTTTTATGAAAATCTTTTGTTTTCATTCGATAATAAATCTATTTTGTAAATGAATTAAAAAACGATCTTCAATGAATTTGAAATCTTGGAATGACATGCATCAATGGAATGAGAATATTATCGTTAAATAATAAATAATTAATGTAAAAATGAAATAAATCCCAATGCCACATGTTTACATTTTATTAGCGGCCTTTTTTCAATTGACTATCTTAATACTCATTTTATAATGAATGTCCATTTTAGTATTTTCAGATTTTGTTTTTAAATAAAAATCATTTTTAATAATATACATCAATTAAAAAGAATATTTTCTACTTAAATAATTATTTATAACATATTGAAAAATATAATAAGTTCAAGATTACACGTAATTAAACAAACATTATGTGTAAAAGTTATATTGAGCTCGTTTCAAACTAACGATGTTTACCATATTCTATAACCGTTGCATTTAATATCAAATTTTGAACTTCTAAGCCATAATACTTCTGCTAAATTACGATTCATTATTTATCGTAACAAGAGAATTATAAAAATAGCTCAATATAGCATAATAATAACAATAATATAAAATGAATTATTCCATGCGTAATTGTTTATAAGTAATTTGACATAACTATCGTATTTTGAAAAAAAATTTATCACACGAAACTGTTCAATTTTAGCACTTTAAAAAGTTCTTAACGTTTAATAATATCCATGTAACAACATTCGAGTGTTATATTATGTACACTATATATAGCAAAATAACTTGACACTGATTCTTTTTTACATACACGTGATACGTACTCAGTACAATATTTGAGAACATTGGCATGATAATAAAAAATAATGTATGATACTCTTGTAAGAAATGTGAAAAGTAATGAATAGAAGAGATGACTATTTCGATTGAAACTAATGGCAATGTTTATTATTCATTGAAAAATATGAAATTCAAAATATTCTTTTATTATTGTTCCTTATTTTAATGATAGTAAGCCATAATTATATTTGAAAAAAGGCTTACGTGATATATATATTATAAAAAGAAAGAGATAAGATAAGAACATCTTAACGAGGTGTAAAATGCTAGACTAAGGGAAACATATACAAAAATGATTATTAGTATTTTATGAAATTGTTCAAAAAAAAACTTTTTAATATTGGTATTAGTATTAATTTAGAAAAACTTTAAAAATGAAAATGTAAAATTCATAACTTAGAAGATAAGTAGGAAGGGAAAACTTGTAAAAAAACTAGAAATAGTTCAGATTTCTACAATTTTCAAAAAACAATAATAAACATCTCTATAAACTTCAGTCATGCAACTTAATGGATATAACTATATCAAAACAATGTCGGTGCTTTTCAGCGGTCTATGTGCTACCCGGAAAGTCCATATGCCTAACTTCCTAGTAAAAAGGTTGGGAAGACTGATTTTGCTTTCAAAATTACTTATTATTATTATCATAACTAGTATAATTGTATTACTTATAATTATCATTAGGAGATCAGGCTCAAAAATTTTGTCTGAATCACAAAAATGATTGCACGATTTTTTTTAGTTTTTTGATTCGGCACAGAAAATGCTGCTCCGATTCTACTGAAATCTTAATCAGTTTTAAGTTGCGTAATTATGCATTGAATGCAATTAGTCCCACGTCAATATTTTTTGTTTTCCAAAAAGTCAAGATAAAAAATAATTCTGAACGCACATACGTACATGTACACACTGATGTCTACTCAAAAACTGTTGTATTAGACTCCACAGACCTAAAAACGTAGAGATTTTTCAAAAGTCGGGATTCGCAAAATAGGACTCGTTACAATAACTTCTCGCTGGGATGCTAAAAATCCTTAGTGATTAGCTGCAGTATCTAAACGATGTTTTAAGATCATTTTTGATCACAGATACACTACGTTATCTGAAACTCATGGAAGTACTTATCAACATTGTTCTAGTAGGTTATTTGACTCAGTAAATCAATAAATAAGATGTTGATATATTTAGGTTGATATGAAAAAATGTACTGCGTTACATGACATACTTATGTAAAGTAGTAAGAAACATTGTATGTGGTGATGTATTAAATACAAAATATTGTTAATTGAATGAATAATAAATATGTTTACACATCTTTACTGAGTTTGGAAGATATATATATATATATATTGTAACGTTATTTTTTTTATAACGTCTCATTGTTAGCTCTAGCAATATTTTATTAAGATTTTTAAGGCTAATAAGAGCCAATTTAGTATGTTTCGGTAATGATTTATGAAGAAAATATTACATAAAAATATAAATTAAGTTTCGGTGCACATTAGTTTTAAGTGACCCCTCCATATGAAAATCTGGGAGAAGTCACGTGAACATAGAAAACCACCAATAGAAAATGTGATTCGACAAATTGAAAACGTTTTGAGTAGAGAGAGAAGAAAATGAAGAAATTGGAGAATAAAAATTTGAGGAAAAATGTTTTTTGAGGAGTCGATTGCGAGCTGTGCTCATGGACAGTCGAGTGTGACCACCATGGTGAAAGGGAAGAGCTAAGAAGGTTCTAGAAAGAAGAATGAAGACCAGAGAGGATCTTCAATGGAAGTAAAAGGAAGTCCAGGACAACCAGGACTAGGTTTGACAAAAGCTAGACTATCAAAAGCTCTCTGCAGAAGATGTAAGTTATTGAGAATTGAATTTTAAAATGGGTTAAAAGGTAAATTTGTAGTTAGTTGAAAATATTTTATAGTATAAAAGTAAATCCGTGAGGCTTGGTTTGCTCTCGTGCTTGTTATTTTAAGTTTACTTGTGGATTTGATTAAAAAAGATTAGGATTAAGTTTAGTTAAGTTGATTTGAAGATTTGTTTATTGTTAAAAATTATGATATTAAGTTTTCAAGTTTAGTTAGTTATGCGATTTATTTAAGCCCCAGAATTATACTATACTTTATACGTTATAGTCTTATTTGGTTTAATTTGAAGTTTGTCTAGTAATTGTTAAGAAAGTTGATTGAGAAAAATTATTAAAATAAATTCGAGAATTAAAAATATGTGAACCTGTCAATTTATTTCTTGTAGTTTGGGGACCTTCAACTCATTCTGTTGGTTAGTTATTTAATTTGGGTTTATTTTTTTTTATTTAATTGTCTTTTTGTTGGTCGGACACGACCCCTCTCCACAACCTACACAATTGAGGGCTAGGACATGCCCTGTTCAGGAGGATCCTGATTTTGTAGAACCCTCTTAGTTAAGTTAGTCTGAGGTTTAGTTTTAAGTATTGAGATTTTGAGAATATTCTGTAGATATTGAGTCAGTTAGTAAGTTTTGAGATATTGAGCTTAGATTTAAGTTAGTATTAGTTTAAGTTACACCAGTTTAGTTATTTTGGTGAATAAAAATAACTTGGCACCCTAGGTAAAGAAGTTGTAGTCTCTCAGGGATGGTTCTAATCAGGATGCCCACCTGAAGGAAGGTGCGTTATGGAGTATACTCTTTAGGGACAGAAAAATAACGTTACAATATATACTAAAAATATAAACTAATAAAACAATACAACTAATAATACAATATATAAATTAATAAAAAGTATTGCATTTGATTCGACAATATCATCATTTTATTTTATTTTAAGCATAACTGTCATAAGATAATTTGGAAAAATCACGCTTGTATCAGACATGAATTTCTTTATCTATTGTATGCCCACTAAATTCATAATACAGTGTGCAAGAGATGATTTTCAGCTTATTGTTCAAAAGATCGTTTTGATGGTAATGTTAATAATTTAACACAAAATTAAAAACGATAATATACTTACAACGAATCTTTAAAAAAATTCGCGGGAAAAGATAAGATCCTGACTCAAAATATAACACCTTTTTTCATCCTATTCTTATCTTAAGACTATCCTTTCTTAAGATTGAACTTAAGATGAACAAATCCTAATTAAAGTCGGAATACGCAACAAATTAGCGTTTCCGTTGGACGAAATTTCTTCGATTTTATTCTAAATTCATACTAATTTTATCCTATCTTCATCCTAATTTTATTTTTGTTTTGCCCTAACTTCATCCTTCTTTTATTTTATACTTATCCTAGTTTCAATCTAATTTTATTGGGTTTTCGAGTAATTTTTATTACAAGAAAAATATTATTTTTTATAATTATTGACTTTATTTTAATTTTTAATGTTAGAACGTTTACAATAAGTACACATAAAGAAAAATAAATGTAAAAAATGATAGAACTAAATCATAATAATTTTTATAATAATTGTTATTCATGAATTATAGATTAAAAAAATTAGGCTGTTCATGGGGATAATAAGTAGAACCACTGACAGTTTGGTAATCGTTAGTAGCTGAAAAACTTACCAAAGAATTATTGACGCCCGTTCCAGCGTAATATGGGTCTGAATTCCGATCGAAGCTATAGTTATGACGTTGATAATTTTCAGCAGCTTCATAGTTTAATTGAGTTATACGTGATTGACTGTTGTCTGGATAATTATTTTCTTTGTTTGGTAATTTCAACTTAATTCTTTTTTTAGAGCGACTATTATTATGTTCAGAAGTTGAAGCATTTTTTTTTTTGAATCAAAATGGATGATTTTTTATATTTTTTCGTTGAAGGAGATTGTTATACTGATGATGGATTTTTTGATGATGAACTTGACCTTATTTGAACGTCAGAGCTACTGCTGTCATCCTAGGACAAAAGGCCAGTATGGGACTTTTGTCTGTTATTTGCAGAAATAGATGCATCTTATATAATATAGTATTCTCATCCAAATTGGGTGGCATTGATACTTGACTTCTCATCGATGAATTTGAAGAAGATCGTGAGTGATCAGGTGTTGACAAATTTGATTTTGAATTATAACGTTTTTTATGTCTATTCCTTGATAAATCAAAATTAGCTTTCAGATTTTCTGTTTTTTATAGTTTCTGTCGATTAATATTAGATTTTTTGTCTCTTTTGTTTCGTTGGATTATTGGTATAAATAGTTTTTTTCTATTTGAACATAATTTGCTGACATGTGCTGTATATTTTTTATAATCAACAATTGTTTTTTCCAAAGAGTTTATGAAATCTATTAATTTTATCCATAAATTGTTATGTAAAAAAACAAGGCCAATTCTCTATTACACAGATGCACATAAACGCTTTTTTTATAATTACTAATAAAGTTTAGCATACGCAAAAAAAATTTTTGTTCGATTTATTATTGTCGATTTTTAACTATTTTAAAAACTCAGAAAAGAACTCAAAAGATATCTCTCTACTTAGAAACTTAAAAAAAATGTTTTTGAAATTTTTCGAAAGAAAAAGTAAGTCTACTTTTATTATAAAATCATCAAGTTACTCATTCTTCTTCGTTCTCCTTTTTTTCGGTTCTTTGTTGTTCTAATTATTCATATTTTTATTGCGTTTAATTTGGTTTTTCAGCTCTACAAGTTTTGTGGGCGTCCTTCAAAAAATTTCATCACGCTTATTCTTAGTGTCTTCTTCATTCGCTTTCGCGAGAGACTAAACTGTAAAAAAAATTAAATGATGAATTTTATAAAAATTCAATAATTCCTGAATTACTTTTGTGATGTCTGAATGTATTTCAATTATTTCACATAACTATTTAAAACATATTTTAACAAAAGCTAAAAATGAATAGCAATAAAACTTAAGGATTGAGGTTAACGATTATTACTTAAGTTATTTTTCTTTAAGTTTTCTGAGGATTTCGTTGAAATAGAAAAGATTTCAAAAAATAGTTGAGGAAATCATCTCTTAGATATCTTATTGCTTTTGGAAAACCCACATCGCGAAAAGCAATAAAATTTTAAAAAAAGAGTACGTGACGCAAGAAGAGCGTTAGCTTTTCACAAAGGGAAAGACCATGCGAAAGGACTTGTGGGCGCTTGAAGCAAGGGACTTCTAATTATGTCACATTCAACTAAATAAATACGTAAAGTTTGATGCATCAGTCATCTCTTAAAATCGTAAGTCTTCTTTTGTCTTGAATATCGTATTGATAATATTTCAATGTTTGGAAATTTTTGGTATGAAGTATTTTAATTGTCAAATTATTTTTCAATTGATATTTGAATCAATTCGCGAATAAAAGTAAATATTGCGCTGACTGGAGCATTGACTAATGACCAATTGATTGTTATTCATCTCGACCAGAGTAAAAGAAATCATCTGTTTGTTACGTTTCAATTGCTGTTATAATTTTTTAATGATTTTCATTCTGTTGAGAATTAATTAATTCTCAGTTTGAATTTGCCAGTTGACAGGAACTTCGGCGGCCATCTTGGGACTGGGTCAATAACCAATCGACCAAATAATCAATATTTCTTAATCTAGTCATTCATTTGACTAATTTTCAGTGTCCCTTTTGACTAACGAAGTTCCTGTAGCCATTCTTTTTCTGTTCTTATTCACGTGTACATGCCATTTTAATCTTTTCGGACAATCTTGAAGTTTAGAGTCAATCATTAGTGCTAGTGCTATTCTGAATCACCAGAAATATTCAATTTTCATTCTACAATCAAAATCAACTAACATTTCAAGACATTTCATAGCAAATTCACGAAATTACATTAGATTCATTTTGCATTGCATTGATAGGCTAACGCCACGTGTACAATCATATTCTTGCTCAACTTGAGAAGCGTGCTGAGCTCGTGTGGGAGGTTAATAATACTGAACACACCAAGTTAAGTGTTTTTTAGACATTCAATTAAAATTCAGTAATTACAATTGACATTCAGTGATTTCTAAAGACATCCATTTCTTGTATTCAGTGACAAAAAGTTGTACAGTGTATACTGTGTACCTGTTAGTGCTGAAAATAAAGATTATATATTTTTGATAAAACCTGCCTTCCGTTTGCTCTGTTCCGGCACAATCATCCCTATCCCTAAACGGTTAGGTTAATTCAAAAGTTGAGATTTTCTCAACACATTCAATAAATTTCGTGATTGTTTTTATATAAATCACACATTTTCACTTTCTTTTTCGAAGATCCCCTCATCCCTGTCTATTGGTCGAAAGGCCAGGACTAAAAAGAAGAACTTAAAGTCTCTAAGGTTAAGCATATGGTTTATATAATGACGCTTTTAAAGAGCAAAAATATATAAC